TGAGAGGCACATTACATTTTTACGGCAGTTGAACTGACTTATAGTAGGATTATTTTTTTAGTGTTTTTTGTTTGGGACTTTGCTTAATATATATATATATATATATATATATATATATATATGTATATAAATAAAAAGAAAGAACAGTAAGATATAAAATCCGGTGTTCTTATAGATATTTTATTTTTACAAAATAGTGCTCAATGTAAATTTACAGAGCATTAATATTATAAATTAATTGATTTAAAATATGGTTATTTTCGCTACACAGTTCCAACCATGTTTCAAAAATAGAAGCTAAAAACCCCTAATTTTATTTTTGCAAATAAATTAAAAGCATTAGTTCTATTTCATCTTCAAGCGAATTTTGGAGTAACTTTTAAAATTTACCGGGTTTTAAATACACAGCTAAAATCACGTTTCCATGGTTACAGAATATTCTACTCAAATTGAACACGGGGTGTCTAGATTTTCCTTATGACAGTATCATTGTATCAGTTATTAGCTACATTTTGGTAAGGGGTGAGGATGTATTTTACACTGAAACCTGACGTCGGTTGAATGGATGTCGTCTGAATTTTAAAAAAAAAAAAAAATTGTTAACGGTAAAAAATTTTCAACGTCATCTTTTAAAATTAAAGATTTTTTTTTTACAATACTTTTTTTTATTTAACTACGATTTGAAATATTTTCCTTTTTAATTTTATTTTACTATATTCTTTTTTAAGAACAGTTAAATGTATTAGAATCCATTATATTATGTAGGATTATTTTAACATTAAGTTTAAGTATGTATATGAGGTTACATTTTTTTTTTTTTTTTGTATATGACTATGACAGCAGAAATGGTTACTTAATTTCACTGATTCAGTAAACTTTTCTTTTATATATAAACCTATTATTATAATATTTCACATGTAAGTACTGAGGACATGGGTCATTCAAAAGCTTACATGTTATGGTATTTCATATTAATTTTATTTTACTATAGGTGTTATTTTTGGATTCTTTTTAATGCGTGTAGTATTATTTAAAAGAAATTTAGGTTAGAATTCATTCAATTTAACTACAATTTTAATTACAAATTCAAAATTACAACTTTAAAATTTTAAAATATTTTCATTGTTTAGTTTTAATAGACTATATTACTTTATAACAGAAGGAAAATTACTCATATTAAGTAAGATTATTTTTCCATATCAAAGTATATGTAAATTTTTTTTTTTTTTTTTTTTTTTTTTTTCCTTTTCTTCTCTTTAAATTTAAATATTATTTAAGTAATATTAATGGCACTTACTACAAAACTAGCTAAGTCATTTCTCAGATTTAGTAAACTTTATTTATTTATTAATTAATTAATTTATTTATTTCAAATATATGTAACCTAATTAATAAAGTTTCATATGTATGTATAAATAACATGTTAGAATTCATTTTATTTTACTACAATTTTAATTTCAATTTTAAAATTTTAAAATTATAACTTTAAAATTTTAAAATATTTTCATTGTTAGTTTTAATTTAGACTATATTACTTTATAACAGAAGGATAATTACTCATAGTAAGTAAAAAATTTTTTTTCCTATCAAAGTATATGTAAATTACAATTTTAAACTTTTAATTTAGATATTATTTAAGTAATATTAATGGCCCAGACTACAAAACTATCTAAGTCATTTCTCAGAATTAGTAAACTTTATGTATTAATTCAAGTTTAAGTATGTATATGAGGTTACATTTTTTTTTTTTTTTTTTTTTTTTTTTTATATATATATATATAAACCTAGTGATATAATGCTTCTCATGTAAGTACAAAGGACATGGGTCATTCAAAAAAGCTTACATCTTATGGCATTTCATATTAATTTTATTTTACTATATTTGCTTTTTTGGGATTCTTTTTTTTGCGTGTAGTATTATTTAAAAGAAACTTAGGTTAGAATTCATTCAATTTAACTTTAATTTTAGTTTCAATTTTAAAATTACAAACTTTAAACTTTTGAAATATTTTCATTGTTAGTTATATTAGACTATATTACTTTATAACAGAAGGAATATTACTCATAGTAAGTAAAATTATTTTCAATATCCAAGTATATATAAATTACAATTTTTAAAACCTTTATATTTTAAAATATTATTTTAGTAATATTAATGGAACTTACTACAAAATTAGCCAAGTCATTTCTCAGGATTTAGTAAACTTTATTTATTACTTAATTTATTTATTTATTTTAAATATATGTAACCTAAGTAGTAAAGTTTCATATGTATGTACCAAGAACAGGTTAGAATTCATTTTATTTAACTACAATTTTAATTACAATTTTAAAATTACCACATTAAAATTTTAAAATATTTTCATGGTTAGTTTTAATTGACTATATTACTTTATAACAGAAGGATAATTACTCATAGTAAGTATAATTATTTTCCATAACAAAGTATATGTAAATTACAATTTTTAAACTATTATATTTAAATATTTAAGTAATATAAATGGCACAGACTACAAAACTATCTAAGTCATTTCTCAGATTTAGTAAACTTTATGTATTAATTAATTAAATTATTTATTTTAAATATATGTAACCTGAGTAATAAAGTTTCATATGTATGTACAAAGAACAATGGGTCATACATTACCTTACATCATCTAGCTTTAGTTATAATTTCATTTTTTCAGGAGGTGTTTTATCGGATTCATTCAAGTGTTTGTAGTACATTTATTATAGAGGTGTTTCCGGTAGGATACATTTTATTTAACTACAATTTTTTAAACGGTGTTTATGTTTTAATACGTTTTAACCACAATTTTAAATAACAGTTTAAAAACATTTTTCCTGCCATTCCAATAGACTTTTTTTTTTTTTTTTTTTTTTTTTATATATTATTTAAGGAAAATTTTTTTGACAATGACGGCATATAATAGCTATTTCATTTCTCTGATTCAGTAAATTTTTATTTTTTATAAACTTAGTAATATATAGTTTCTCTTGTATACATAGAGGACACGGTTGGTTTAATGATCTACAAATTCTAGCTCTTCTTATTAACTTCCATTTTACTGTAGGTGTTTTATTTGATTCTTTTAGATGCCAGAAATATTTTGAGAGAGATGTTTGATTTTTATATTTATTTATTCTAAATGAAGTTTGATGTTGGTTGAATCTTTTTTGAATTCATGGCTAGTGCAACCTATATATATTTTTATGTTATCAGGATTTTCAATCGAAGAGATATTGCATTGGTATACTAATGATTCAGTGCAACATTTATTTTGTAGTGGGCAATTTTGAGGGTTTCGACAATTACATAGTTTTTTGTTTATTTACATCAGTTTTTATCTTAATTTTTCTATTGTCTAAATTTTTTTGGTTTTGGTATAAGTGTTTATTTAAGATATTAGCATTATGGTTCTTAATGATTTTTCTAAGTTCTTTTGTACAGCTATAACTTAATTTTAGTGTGTTTTTATTGAAAATAGTACTTAGTTTATTTTCACAAGGGAAATGCTTGACTATTAATGTGAGGAATTTATGTCCTAATCTGTTCTTTACCATTTGGTTATATGGGGGAGTATACCAAATAATTTTTCTACATCTGTTTTTTCTATGTTTTCCATTTTCATTTTTTATATACGCTAGTTTTGGGGTTTTGTAGCCACTATCTTTTAGAGCCTTATTATAGCCATTGATATGCTCATCAAAAATCTTGTTATTAGCTGAATTTGTACTAATTCGTTTACTTATAGATAACGGTATATGTTTAATTATAGATGGGGGGTGATTTGATTTAGGATGTAACACCTATAGTAAAATAAAATTAATATGAAATACCATAACATGTAAGCTTTTGAATGACCCATGTCCTCAGTACTTACATGTGAAATATTATAATAATAGGTTTATATATAAAAGAAAAGTTTACTGAATCAGTGAAATTAAGTAACCATTTCTGCTGTCATAGTCATATACAAAAAAAAAAAAAAAAATGTAACCTCATATACATACTTAAACTTAATGTTAAAATAATCCTACATAATATAATGGATTCTAATACATTTAACTGTTCTTAAAAAGAATATAGTAAAATAAAAATTAAAAAAGGAAAATATTTCAAATCGTAGTTAAATAAAAGTATTGTAAAAAAATCTTTAATTTTAAAAGATGACGTTGAAAATTTTTTACCGTTAACAATTTTTTTTTTTTTTTTTTTTTTTTAAAAATTCAGACGACATCCATTCAACCGACGTCAGGTTTCAGTGTAAAATACATCCTCACCCCTTACCAAAATGTAGCTAATAACTGATACAATGATACTGTCATAAGGAAAATCTAGACACCCCGTGTTCAATTTGAGTAGAATATTCTGTAACCATGGAAACGTGATTTTAGCTGTGTATTTAAAACCCGGTAAATTTTAAAAGTTACTCCAAAATTAAGCTTGAAGATGAAATAGAACTAATGCTTTTAATTTATTTGCAAAAATAAAATTAGGGGTTTTTAGCTTCTATTTTTGAAACATGGTTGGAACTGTGTAGCGAAAATAACCATATTTTAAATCAATTAATTTATAATATATATATATATATATATACATATATACATATACATATATATATATATATATAAAATTTACTAATTTAAAAATATGGTCCCATTGGTACACAGAAATTATCATGTTTCAAAAACAGAAAGAACAACTTTAAATTTAATTATAGAATTAAATTAAAATCCCTAGTACTGTTTCATTTTCAAGTGATTTTTGTAATAACTTATTTTGAAATTTACTGAGTTTATAAAGACATACATTCTTGATATTAGTTGCTAAGATTACAGGAAATGCAATCATTTTGATAAGGGGTGGTAGGGTATTCATTTTCATAGATAACCTGTGTATCAAAATATGATTTACTTTCAAAATCAGGTTAGGGTAAGTTTAGGTAGGGCAGGGGTGACTGTTCAACAAATGATATCCATTTTTTGCATGTTGTCTTTTTTTTTTCTTTTTTTTTTTTTTTTACTAAAAAGTTTTGGGGCATTTTTATTTTCCTGTTAAATTTATAATTGTATACACAAAGATTTTTTTCAAAAGGGTCATTTGAATATGAGTACGTCATATTTTTAATATTCAAAATCTATTCCTACAATTTTAAATTATTATTCCTAATTCTAATTACAAATAGACTATACATTTTTTAAAACAAATATATTAGAATTACTTTAAAAATTATTATTCAAAGATTAAGTATAAATATGTATGCTTCAGTTTTCATCTATTTTTTTTTTCCCCACCCCATTTAATCATTTTATAAATTTAGTTTCAGTTTTGAAACATGGAAATTTCCTGTGTTGTGATGGAATCCTATTTTTAAAAATAAAATAATTATAATATATATGTATTATTTGTGTCTGTTTAATGACCAGGACAGGTGTGAATCATCATTAGATATGCTCAAAACAAGCCTAAAAATGTAAACCCGATTTTGATTGAATTATTACTTTTCAACTAAAGTTATATTTTTGTGATATGAGCAAACAGAAGTAATGATCTTTTTTCTTTTTTTTTTCTAAATTTAAACATTTATACAAAAGGAATTATAAATAATGAAATGTTTGTAAATGTGTAATTAAGAATTTTAATAAAATGTTACATCCAGTTTTCTTTTATCAGAAATGCTTGCATTATTTCTGATCCATTAAATATCTCTTTCTTCTTTCAACTTCTCTTTGTTAATTATTTTTTGTGTAATGTATCAACAGAAGGGAAACCTACTCACCTTTTGCTTTCTAACTGCTATTTGTTGTCTAGTTGTGCTCCACCAACTTTTGTATTATCTCACCTAATTTTCCTAGCAGAACCATCTCTTGGTGAATTCTATAAAATTTTTGCACTTTTCTACCTTTTTACATAAGGAAAACGATCCCTTTCCTATTCTAAAATGAATCCCTTATTTTTTTATTAATTCTAATTTTATGACTCGAACTTATTCCTTCAAAATTATTATTGTTCAGGCTAAAAATTACCTGTATTCCTCACCCCTCCCAAGGCAATTTTAATACAAACCGATAATGTTTGGTGAGCTGTGTTGTTCCATATAGTTGTTACTATGCCAAAAGAATTAGTTTATTCTAACTTTGTTCATTGCAGCATACTGCTGGAAACTGCAAACGGACTCAGAGGCGAGTTGTAAATATGCTGCTTGGTTTAGGAATGATTCAAGAAGCTGCTCGGTTTGCCAATGACTTCCAGTTTGATGATGATGAATTTACAAGTGAACTGCAGAAGGAAAGACAAAACTACAGGTTTGGTTATCTTTCTATTCTACATCTTTTCTGTAGTGCTACAGTGCAATATTAGTCTACCTCATCTATCAGTTCTGGGTTAAATACCAGGGTACCTGGAATAGGACTACTCTGAAATCAAAACTAGAGAAAGCAACTGCAAGCCACTCCACTATTTTTCCCATGAATAGTCATCAGAATTCTCATCTGTCTATATTTCTGAGATGAGGTATTGTAACTATTTATGCTATTTATATCATTCAGACTTTTGTCCTCATCTTTATTGCCATATTCACAATGTTTTAAACATTGTATGCTCTAGACTTCTTCAGGTGATATATACATTGGAATTTCAAACCAAACCCCTTATTTAGCTCACTGGGTAGATTGTTCTCATTCCACATGCCATGCCTTTCTTGGATATCTCACTTTCAGTTAATTCCCCAAGTTTACATGACCTAGTGAATAAAATAGGAGTTGACATGCCGTTAAATCCAACATCCATCCATCCTAGTGAATAAGTGTTGGTTGAGTAATCTAAAAAGTGGCTTGACCCAAAAAGTTATACCTGACCACAACAGAGGGGACAAACTTGGAGAGTTACTAAAGGCAATTAACTGAAACGGAGATATCCAAAAAAGGCATGAAATTAGAACAATCTGTCCCAATGGACTAAATAAAGTGTTCAGTTTGAAATTCCAACATATATTACCTGATGAAGGCTGGAGCATACAACATCTGAAACATGAATATAACAATAAAAATGAGGACAACAGTCCAAACAATCAGTTAACGTGAAAATTGTTGCCTCGTGATTCGCATGCAAATCGTGGTCGGTCCGGGCAAAAATGTATAAAAGCAGGCTCGTTTCTGCTGTTTCAAATGAAAGGCTTTCGCTCGTGAGAAGGTTGGACGGCGACCGGTTTTCTTTGTGCCTACCTGCTATCACCAGTTGAATTGTTGAGTTACACACTTCAAGCTATTTCGGCAATGGACAAGTTCGATCTAAAGTTGATCCCAGAATTGACGGCTCCCCCACGGGCCCGACTATCGTTGAATGGTTTGAAAAGGCGAACGTGTTTGCAGGGTGTCCAAAATAAAGGAACCTGCACTAGTCATCCTACTGAGACTCACGGGAGGAGCCTACGCGAGTATATCAACAACTTCGGGGACGATGCTGACCTAGAAGAGATCAAGGACGCCCTGTATACGGCCTTTGGAATAGATCCATTCATCGCTTGGAAACAGTTAAATCGGACGACGGCTCGAGCCGGTGAGACCGTGGATGTTTACCTGGCTGATTTGGCGAAGCTGGCAGTACCGTTTACGGAGCAACGGACCGCATACTGGGTGCGCCTTCCTGGCAGGGCTTCCAGACGACACCAGTCGGTTCCTGCGGCGCCTTCAAGATTGGACACACTGGGAATTGACGAATTGCTAGCCAGGGCCCGGACATCTTGAAGGACACGGAACAGATCGCGGCAGCCGGAGAACGCCTGAGACACCGAGGGAGGGCCCAAAGTGCTACAAGTGCGGTGGACCCAACCATTTCTCTAGGGACTGCCGGCAGTGGCGACGGGAGGGAGCGGCAGGCGGAACTGTGCGACTACGCTGCTATCGCTGCAAAGAGTTAGGCCATGTAGCACAGGATTGCTCGAAAGCGAGTCCGGGGACAAGGTGCTGTCGCAACCCTTGCCCCCTCTCGGTCAGTAAATCACGGCATTGCCTGTTATCAACGTATGCGTTGAGGGTAAACGATGTTCGGCGCTTCGTTGACACTGGATGTTCCCGATCGATCGTTAGCGGCGGATCGTCGTGACATGGAACAGTCAACAAATCGAGATTCGGACGATTGACGGGGTGTCCGGGCCTGTTGTGGTGTCGGGACTGTGTCAGTCCTAACAGACGGAGGGAGTCATGCCAAAAGTCGACGTCTTGGTGGCACGTCAAAGGCCCCTCGGTACGACCTGCTACTTGGGATTGATGCGATCCGGCGTTAGGAGGCATGATGATCACGCCAGCGGAAATGTGGAACTGGGTGAAAGAAGAAAGGTGTGTGCAGCCCTTTGCGTTAGTGAGCGGATTTGATGTCTCCTTCAATTCCGGCGAGAGAGTGGACGCCAGGTGGAAATGGGCCCAAAAGACCCGCCAGTTCAGCTTTCGCAACAAGGTCGCTGAGTACAAAGTTCCAGATAGCATCAGAGGAAAATACGAAAAGAGCTTCAGCAGTGGATTGTGAACGGCTGGCTGATTCCATACCCCCAGGAAAGACTGGGACCCCCAAAGGGTCTGATTCCCTTGATGGCAGTCGTGCAGGAGCAGAAACAGAAGGTGCGTCCGGTACTCGATTACCCGCGAATTGAACGACTTTGTGGATGCTTTCACTGCCGATGCAGAAGTGTGCGCACATAAGTTGAGAACGTGGCGGCGGCAGGGGGTCAATGTGTCGCTTCTGGATCTGCGGAACGATATCTTCAGATTCACATCGACGGCGCGCTGGCCATTTCAAACGGTTATTTTCAAAGGCCAACGCTTCTGTCTTCTGGCGGCTAGGATTTGGGCTAAATGTAGCGCCACTCATCATGAAATCCGTTATAGACGCCATCGCATCGCAAGACCGCACAATTGAAAGTGCCACATCAGCATACGTTGATGATATCTTCATTAATGAAAGTTTGGCCTCTGCATCGCGTGTAAGACAACACTTTTCGGATTACGGTTTGGTGTGCAAGGATCCGGTGCGACTGAGAGATGGAGCAAGAGTTCTTGGCTTGCAGGTCTGGGAAGAAATGGCACCCTCCGATGGAAACGAGGAAGTCAAATTCCGGAAGCCCCTGATGTGTTGACCCGGTAGCGCGTATTTTCGTTGTGTGGGAAACTTGTTGGACACTTCCCAGTGTGTGGATGGCTCAGGGTGGCAGTTGCATTAAATCAGCGCCTGGCAACCGCAGCAACCAATGGATGGGATGATAACATCAAAGATCCCTCTCTCTGTCGCATACTAGCAGAGATGTTAAGTAGAGTCACGGAACTGGATCCCGTCGGGAGGAGACTGGTGCATGAGTGGTGACGAGATCACAGTCTGGGTGGATCTTGAGTTCCGTGGCGACAGGAGTGGCATTGAAGTAAACGAAAATGTCATCGAAGATGCGTGCTGGCTGCGTCCGACTAATGATGCCAGGCACATTAATTTGGCTGAACTCGATCGGCGGCTTTAAAGGAGTGAATCTGGCTCTCCAGTGGAGGCGACAACGTTGCACTTGGTCACTGATTCGGCGTGTGTGCACCGGTGGATTTCAGACACCTTGACCGGGAAGGCACGGGTGAACACAAGGGCGGCTGGTGAGATGCTGGTCAGGCGACGGCTGGGCATTTTTGCGATCGTTGGTGGACGAATATGGATTGACCGTGAGACGTGACACTTGTGCAGTCCTGTCAGAACCGTGCAGATCGCCTCACCAGAGTACCGCACAGGTGGCTAGAACTGCTCAAGAGAGGAGAACCGCACTCGAGAGCTGTGCAGTGGCAGGGAGACGACTGGATGAGGACCGGGTTGCCAATACGCGCCGTCAATGCGGACATCCGGCGTGAAACGAACCCTGTGCCGCCAGGTTAGTCGACCGCAGGTGTCCAGAGAAAGCGTTAAATCCGTTGTGAAGGCCTGCACAACCTGTCAGTCGATCGATCCGGCACCCGCTCACTGGGAAAGAGGAGAACTGGCGTGAAGAGCAACTGGAGCAGACTGGCAATGGACATAACTCACTACAATGGTGAGAATTTTTAACACTCATTGATTGCGGTCCCTCCAGGTTCGCAGGTATGGCGGCCCTCGCAGACAAGACGCGAGCACCGTCATTCGACTGTTGGAGAATGTTTTCCTGAGCGAGGCCCACCCATGGAAATACTGACGGATAACGATACTGCGTTCACCAGTAAAGATTTTAAAGAATTTGCGGACACTTGGGGCGTGCATCTGCGGTTTCGATGTGCCTACTCGCCAAGTGGAAACGGCATCGTGGAGCGGAACCACAGAACCATCAAGACCATCGCGGCCAGGAAGGGCTGCACAGTTTCGAAGCGGTTTACTGGTATAATGTCGCCCGAAGGATAACATTTCACCATCCACGGGCGCCGGCTGATGCACTGCACAAATATCATGTCCGGCGTGAGGGCATCGAAGCCAACCCGCTGCCTGAACTAGAAGTGACTGGAGGGAGATTGAAAAAGGAGACATCGTTTGGGTCAAAAACCCACGCGGCAAGTGTACGACAAAATACGGCACTGGGCGTGTTACGGAGGTTATCAGCCCGCAATCTGTGAGAGTTGATGGGGTGCCTCGTCACATTAAAGACTTGCGACCGGTGACGCAATCACTACCGCTACCGGCGATGAAAGCGATTCGAGTCTGGGAGTAGTGAGCGTTCAATCTGCCTTGAGTTAGACCTGCAGGGCAGCGATTCTGATAACAGCAGCCTCCCGGGCGGACACAGTGTTTACCGACACTCAAACCACAGACGAGAACACGCACGAGGATGAAGCTTGTGTTATCCCCCTTCGGAGAGGGACTCGACGGCGACGATCGCCACCTCCCTGCCCTGTTTGTGATCATGAGATCAGGGGAGTGGGGAAAAATTGTGAAAATGGCCTACCTCGGAAACGCGTTCGAATCTGCGCGCAGTATAAAACACTGGTCCTTCCAACTGTAAAAAAGAAAACCAAAATGGCGGCGCCCGCGTTTTATGCCGAGTAGTCTCGGTCAGTTAACGTGAAATCTCGTTGCCTCGTGATTCGCATGCAAATCGTGGTCGGTCCGCAGCTGTATAAAGCAGGCTCGTTTCTGCTGTTTCAAATGAAAGGCTTTCGGCTCGTGAGAAGGTTGGACGTGCGACCCGGTTTTCTTTGTGCCTACCTGCTATCACCAGTTGAATTGTTGAGTTACACACTTCAATAGTATAAATAGTACTTTACATAATAAAGAAAAGAGATCTGCGGAAAGCCATGATAGCCTCTGTCCTAAAAGAACATGGCATTTAAAAAGAAAAGAAAATGGACATTGATAACTTTTTCTAAGATTTTGATGTTTTTGTCTTTAATCTTGCTTTTTATAAATTTACTTGAACATTTACAAACATGTTAACTCTTTGCCTTTTCAAAAGTTGTATTGGTATCTAAAAATCATTAAAATCATCTCTAATAATGAACAATGTCACTTTTTCTGTATGTTTCTTTGTCTGACTTGTATTATAATAAAGCTTTATACTCAACTCAAAAAGTGAATCTGATCCTATGCAGAATCACTAATCCATGTATAAATAATCCATCATTTTTGACAGACACTATGGTAACAATGAGTTAAATATTGGCTTACTGTGTCCAAATACATTTCATGGCATATACTGACAATTCATTTTAGTATTATGTTAGACGTCAATATAATTTTTGCTTCATGTTAAAAAAACAAAACACATAACTTAGTTAAAATTTTAGTAGTTGGATATTTTGATAAGAGGAAAGAATCTTGCTACAAGCTATTTTGGAAAATTTAGAAAATTGACAATGTATCCTTCACATGTTGTAGTATTTGCTTTTTATTTAAGACCTGAAGATTCACCGTTTTACAAAGTCCCCTATTTAGATACTAGTTTGGTCTCAAGCTTGCAGGATGAGTTCAACCATAGCTTCTATTTTAATTTTAACTAAAGCAGTTTTGTTAGATTTTATTTTTATTTTTTATTTACTCCCTTCAGTGGAACTGTTCTATAATTGTCATGCAAATACCCACTTTTAAGTTTGTCCTTGATATCTTCTGCAAACTTGAGGACTTCTTCTTGCTGCTTTTGTTGTTACCACATTTCAGTCGATACATTCTGCAGCCTTCTTTAGGTGTACAAATATTTCTGCAATTTTGTGAGGATTTATTATCTTTCAAATATTTTGGCCACTACTAAATTACTAATATTTTTTAGTGCTTTGTTACTTTTTGTATAATCCATTCTACAACTTTCTTCAGGTAGGTAAACCAGAGACCCTCTTTTCCATATTCACTTGAAGAAGTTTATAGTGGTTGAAATATTGTGGTGATAATAATAGCAAGACAAAGAATGAGACCAAATATTTCAAATAGTTCTTGGAATGTTTGTCATGCTGTACAACCAGATACACGGTTTGGAACTAATTAACAATGCTGCTTTATTTCTATTTTCAGTGAGAAACCCAAGGAGGATTTTGTGGAGGAGGTGCTTTGGAGTTTAGCTGATGAACTGGACAAAGGTGAACCTGAAAATATTGCTAATCCGTTCCACACATTCCCATACCCTAGGCCAGCTATAAAGTTACTTAACAACAAACAAGAGTTTTTGAACTGTGTTAGTCATTTATCACAAGTAAGTAGAATCTATATTAAATCATTATTCATGATATCCTGAGTAGGATTTATTGAATAAATAAATACATTAAAACATTCATTCATTTTAATGATCTCATGGTGATGTAGATAATTCTTATTTTTCTTTTGAAAATGCCATGTTCCTTTAAGATGTAAACAATTAGTTATTCAGATTTCTTTTTCTTTATCTGAATTGCCATGATTTCTGGGGAGACATAGTGGAGTGATTTCTAGTTGCCTTCCCTATGGTTTTGAATTCAGTTATCCTTCTAGACTGGCTACCAATCATGGCTAGAGAACATAGTCTACACTGCTATTTAAATCATACCCAGAGAGAAAAGAAATAGATTCATGCCTTTCCTAAGAGAATTAGTACAGATCAAATACTAAGATTCATTTCTGCATTCTTACATTTATTGTAAAAGTTGTCAGAAATATCAAATACATATTTTACTGTTATGTGCATGGAATTAGTAATTCTTTGTAAAGCTTCAATGATGACTCTAGCAAAAACGTGGAAGAAATCTTTCTTTTTTTTTTTTTTTTTTTTTTTTTTTTCGTATTCCCAATGAATTTCTCTAAATACGAGATTTGATAACAAGATCCAACCAAACTCCCAACAAAATAAGTGGGCTCAAAAAATTTGCTGGTTCTTGCATACAAAGTTAATGTATCTGGTAGTTCTATATTTGCCTGTGTGTTGTATACTACCTGGATTCACCTAATTGCAAACAGTAATATATATATATATATATATATATATATATATATATATATATATATATATATATATATAAGTGGGAAGTGAAGAGGTCCAATATGCTGTCAGATATGGTACCATTTATTTTGGGTTGTGTTATAAAGTTGTTACATTCTGGCAGCCAATCAGTTGCAATCTTTCTTGAAAGACAGTCTTTTGTACTTGTTATCTAAAGCTGAGCAAATTTGCAACTTTTGAGCCCTTGAGGACCACTCAAAAGTTTATTTATCAACTAACACCAATTAGTATTTATATATAAGTTTGAAATTACATAATTTCTATTTGAATTCATTTTTTTTTGTTTGTTATTAAACAGAAAAGAATAAATTCAAATAAGAATTATGTAATCATTTTTATTTTGAATCTTTAAGTTAAAGGTACTTCCATTATTTAATGAAATAATTTACAATTTTAACAGATTTTGTCTGAACTCATGGATTGTTAAAATTTCTTATATGGGTTTTAAAGTTAATTTGTCAAAAAACTGGTAATATAAAGTTTCAGAGAAATTAATGCTTAAAAATTTACTTTGTATAAGTTAAAGAATTACACAAGCATTAATTTATAAGGCTAAAAAACCACAGGTTGCCACCTATTATATTCCATATCACAATGTAGAATGAATTAATAGTTTAAAATTAACTTTACATGTGGCAAAAAATTAGCACTAATTTTTTTTTCTTTTTTTAATTGTAATCATTTTTCAATTCAGTATAAAATGCATACCTTTCTGTATCATTTAATAAACCATTAAATAACTATTCTTTTTTTTTTTTTTTTTTAAAATATATATAGCCAGGGTTAGTGGTTGGTGTTGACACTGAATGGCAAACTTTGTTTGATTGTACAATGGATAAAGATTGGCAAGTATTTTTTTTTTTTTTCTTTTTTTTTTTTGAAAAAGAACTGTAATATATTCACTTTTATATAAAAACATTTAAGTACCGTTCCTGAAGATTATTTTAAAACCTTTTGAGCGTTAAAACATTTATTTGTTTACAGTAAATAAACTCTACGAAACGAAAGTTTTTCATGTTGAAAATCATTAGCAAAATTAATTTTACTATATAATAAGCCAAATGTTTTGGGGTTTTTTTTTTTTTCGTCTGCAATGCCTTATGTGCAAGTAATCTCCCTTGTATTGCCGAGGCAAAGTAGCAATGTTTTTATGCTAATGCAGATATCTTTATGAAGCCACCAGGTGAAAAACTTTCTTCATGAAAAAGCAGAGTATAACGAAAATAATTGGAAAAAGCATATTTAAAATGTCATAAATTTTGCCAGGTTGGTTAAACTTGTTACCAAATAATGAATAAAGCCTAACTTGGTTTATGTTTTGATTCATTTATAATGTAAGATGATCTGAAAGCAAGAAAATCCCACAATTCATCTTTTTAACATCTAGGAATAGAACAGTTATTTTTTCTATTACTTTTATCCTATAATAGTTACATTTGCTTGCATATTTTATTCACTAAATATAACATCTATTCAGAGGCTGTTTTCAAAAGACTGTCAGAATTTTGTTTATTGAAATCGTTCAAACTAATTTACTTATTTTTATTTTAATTATTGCAGTATTTCTTTGTGTATGTTGGAATTTTCTTCAGAAAAGCTGTCTTTTCTCTCCATATAAATCCAGTGCTTTCTGCGAATTATTGGAATCTCACATATCCCATGTTTCCCTATAATGTCTGTGTCTAATCTAGCTTCACAAAAGAATTGTTTCAACACCATCCTTTTTTTTCTTTTTTCTTTTTTACGAGAACTGATAATAGTTTTTGAAATATCAAATTTATCATCAGTTCTTTTCGCTTTTTCAATTAGTGACACTTGTATGTTGTTAATATAATTGCTTAACTTATTGATAAGATGATTTGAGCATTAACACAAGTTGAACACATTGATCAGAAGCTCTTGTAGAGGAAAGTGTTTGAAAAGTAAAGAAAAGAAATGATCTCCAAACATAACTCTACAAATTTAAATAATTTTATTAAGTATAAAAAATCTTTTCCTCTCAAGTTGAAAGAAACAAGTTACAAAGTTTCTATTTGATTGAAATCTTTAAGTAAGCCGACTTTGGAAAATGCAACACAAAATGATGCTTGGCCAAATACTGATTGTAGCAAGTATATTCCAATTTTATAATTGAATGGCATAAGATTGAAATACTTGTAAAGAATAGACATGTGGAGACTAAAGTGACTTGTGATAGTAAAATCATTGCATTTCTATGGAAAGTACAAAAACAGTGAAACCAATTAGCATGCCATAGGTATATTTTTGGCATTAATGGAATTGTGCATAATAAAGTAAATTGTTTCAGTTGAGTATTTGGAGAAGTGTAAGAAGTTTTGTAATGTTTGTACATTTTAAGAAGGTAAATAGGTGTAAATAAGTCTTGATAGATGAGTGCTGTATGGAAAGTATTCATCCATATATATTGATGAAAAAGGACTTTATCTTGAGCAGTAGTGACTTATTTCTCTTGGGATCTCTCAAATTTATCCCTGTGTCTTTTCCACATTCTAAAACAGCCTGCAAAGTCCTTTTGAAGAAATAGCATTGACTTCATCAGTGTGTTCTCTTTAATCTTAACCAGTTTGAAATTTTCTCTTAGCTTTAGGAAAAACCAGAAATCTGAATCAATTCTGGATTGTAGGTGGGTAGGCAGACAGACTTACAGAGGGATGCAATGTTTTTTGAATAAATAAACTGCAAATGGGAATCGGTCATTGTGAATAAACAGCCACATGATATACAAGCTCACACAATGCTGTAATCACCAACTAATTGACCACATTGGGGAATAGCTGCTTATTCATGTGCAATAAACTCACCTCTGATTGGTTGTTAAGTTACATCAAGGCTGCACAACCAGTCCTTGGGATATTTGACATCTGCTTTCCTCATAAATTCTTTTTTACTTGTATACAGTTTTTTTTTTTTTTTTTTTTTTTCTCTTTTAGTATTGCCCTGATCCAGTTGGCCACTTTAGACACTGTGTACATTCTTGATGTAATTAGTTTAATTACCCTCCTTTCATCTGATGATTGGATTCACTTTTTTCATCAAGTCTTTTGTAATGACAATGTCATCAAATTAGGTAAGTTGACTCCATTTTATTTTCATAGTTCAATTTTTAACACTAATCTCACCTAATATTACTTTCAGAATGAAACTTCCAGTGATGCCCACAATGTCATTTCCTTTATTTGCTTCTTAAACAAGTTACCACCTTGAAAATCTTTTGACTTCAAAATTAGCTGCTATTATTAATGCATTGTAGTGAAAGGAAGGATGTTCTCATTTATCCTGCTGCTGTTGATAGAAGATTTAGCCTCATAGATATCCAATAATGGTAAATATATAAGACAATTTGGAAAACTTCTATTTTGTCATGTTTTGGCAATAGATCAGCTTCATCATAAAAAAGGAATTTAACAAAATCTACATTAGCAAACAAATGTGATTATTGTTAAGCTTATGAATATTTGACTTTTTCTTTTTTACTTTAACTGTATCAGTTTAAAAATTAGAGTGAATCAATTTCAACTTGGTTTTTATTTTTTTATTTCTTATATAAATTTCTTAAGGCTTTTATATCTCACATTGCTTTAGATCTAATATCACCTGTTCCAAATTAGTACTGAAAATCTTACAATAAATTAATATTTATTGAAATTAGTTAAAATCTAATTTCTATAAATGATCCAATCAAAGTAAAAATAAATGTTCATATGCTTAATGTGACTCACATTTTGTCTTGCTAAGGTAAATTTTGTTGCAATAAAATCGTTTTTATTTTATTTTTTTATTCTGATGTTGATCTGTCAGTGAACCATGTCAAAAAAATTTTCCAAATTGTTTTATATATTTATACTGTCAAACACAGGCTTTACAATCTTTGAACATTATATTATATCATTTACCACAATGTGCAAATGAGTATTTATTTAATGTAGCTAATCATTCAACAGTATATAGCATCACACCAACAGAGATTATAGACAGCAATAATCTCTAACACTTGGTACATTTGTAGTCCACTCCACTACCAACTCTACAGTTCAGCATTTATATTTTTCCTTAATGTAAACTGAGCCCTGTTATTTACAGTAAAGCTTATTCTAAATCATTAAATGATTAAAGGAAAAAAAAAGTTGTTTATCATTGGTTGGTTCATGAAGCAAAAGAAACTGAAGATAAAACTCTATGAACCTTGCTAGCTTAAACGATATTTGAAAGACCCAGTATTATTAAATTTTGAAATGACTTCTTATTCACTAATAGTCTGTTATCTTAACTTATTTTAAAAGTAGCTCAAAAAGTCACAAGTAGTGAAATTCAAAACTCCATAATGCTGGGTTTTTCAAAAGTGATTCAGTATGACCATCCAGGCCACTTTATTCTTTTTGCATTTATGATTCTTTCAATCCTTTGCCAATTAATTTCTTTCACCCCTTTGCCAAGTAATTTCTTTAATCGCTTTGCTAAGTATTTTCTTTAATCGCTTTGCTAAGTAATTTCTTTAATCGCTTTGCTAAGTATTTTCTTTCAATATATTTTATATTTTTTTTTTACATATTTTCATAAACAGCTAACGTGCAATTCCTGTCTTCTTACAGGTTATGGTTTGTCACAAGACTTTAAAATTTTAAAGCATACATTTCCTTACATCAACACTGAGGAGTTTGTACAAATTATTGACCTACAGAACACAATGGATAAGGTGTGGTTTGTTTTATAGCATCATCTAACAATATAACCTGTTATTACTGAGAAATAGTAATTTACTTGTCTATCTTAAATAGTATGCTTTTAGTCAATATTTTTTTTTTTATTGAAATATACACTTATCTTTGGTTTATTGAATAAGATTATATAGATTTATATTATTTTCAAAGAAAATGTGCATGTGTGGAAATTGCTGAAAGAAAGAAAGGATTAAACTGAATTCTGTTATTTGGTCTAATTTTGAGGAATGCATCAGGCCAAGAACTTTTCAACAGCTCTCATCTGATACTAAAAATATAAATATGACCAATGTGATTTATGTAAAAAGAAACAACTTTTCTTTCTCTTTTTTTCCTTACATTACTTTGACTTATTGACATCATGCTTATTATTTTTAACACAATTTTAAACAAATTTTTAAGACACGATGTATACCTGAGGGGGGAAAAATAATGTGCCAGCAGAAATGTGTAAATAACAATGCATATAAATTTAGTTTCTGCAGTAGTTAAATAAGCTTTAAACAATTAAAGACATAACTGAGAAATTGTTACTACTATTTGATATGTAGATTATTATTTAAAAAAAAAAAAGAAAAAAAGGTTCAATAATTTAAATGCTTTTAGGTAGGGTTATGTGTATTATTGGGTGAGAGCAAAAAAGTGTCAATTTTGTTGAACAAAATTGAGAAGGTACTTTTGTTTAGATTTTTTTTGTTTTTTTTTTATATGTACAAGTGTCATCTTTTCTGGCCTTAATTGAATTTAAATGTCCAAACATTTGTTGGCTTCAGGTACTTTTGGCTAATCTGTTAGTCGTTTTCAAGGATTTTTTTTATATACTGCTATATACCACTGCAACAGCACTTACGCACCATTTATTATAGTAGTGTAAAAAAAATTTTTTAAAATGAAAAATGTAATCCAAGCAAAAAATACAATTTTATGACAATCTTTTCAGCTTTTCATACATTTTTACAATAGATTTGCTAAAAAAAAAATTGGTAGGGTTTGAGCCTATGGACATAAGATCTGAAATTTGAACTACAATCTTACATTCTGATCATGGTTCCGTTGATGTTTACTTTTTGGGCATCTGTTTTTCTTATTAAATAACAATTGATTGTGCATTCAGAGAAAACAATAGTTGCTATGAAATAAGGGTTTATCACCTCCAATTTAAACTTTCAAATTGAAAATTTTAAACTTTTTAAATTATTTTATATTCTACTTTTGATAAGATTTTCCCCTCTTTTAGACTTTTATTTGTTTGGTCCATGTTGAGTTCTAATTTTATTATTAGATTAATTATTAAATAAGTATTATTTAAATGAGCTTTAGCAATTTTTCATCTTACTCCTTGATTATATTATGATTTTTTTTTTTTTTTTTTTTTTTTCAAAGATTACTTTAAAATTTTGGCAAAATTGGGTCTTCACTAAATCAGAAATTGAATTCTAATTTTTAATAGTTTACTTATATTTTTAATTTCTTGTTTTGACTATCAACTGAAATTAAATTTTTAACTTTTGAATTAATTTCAGATGTGAGGATTTTTGCATATCCTAATATTGTATAATTGAATTTTAAAGAATAAGCTAGTATTATTAAAAAATAACTATTTCAAAAATTTTTTCACAATTGACATAAGTTACTAACTAAAGTGCTAAAGGTTATGATACAGAACTATTTGTATTGATATATACACAAACATTTATTTTGCTTAATGGAAGTCAGGAGGAAACTCTGAAATATTTTATGTAAAATGAAAAACAGTTCAAAGAAGAGTAAATAAAGCAGAAATATTTAATGCTTTACAATGGATGACAAATGAATACATTTGCTATTGTGGTGGGATGCCACCCAAAATTTTATTTACAGATTTTAAAAGAAACTTTTCATTTTTCTTTCTAGTCAGTATCTTATTTTTGAATTGGATATTCTAACAGACTATTTTGTTCCATATTGACTTAAAGGAGCTGAGTACATCTCCTGGTTAGCCTTCAACCTTTAGTCAGGTATGTTAAAGGTAGATTCTCAAACAATCTTTCCCTTTCCATCTTAGTTCTTTCTTGTATTTTTTATTTTTTAACTTTTGGTGCTGTATAGAGTATAGATGTTGTTCTTGGTATGTTTTTCATTCATTCCTTTCATAGTCACAGATGTAGTTCAATAATAAATAGTAGCCTAGCAGACCATGCTTCATACCAAGTTCTTAGATATAAAAATACTGGCTTGTTTACTCTTTCAGTCTAATACCTGTACAGTCAATCTTAGATTTTTATTGGAGCAGTTAGAAAGGATCTTACATGATAACTAATTCAGGATTTCATTTGTGACCAAGGATCCGCAATTACAATGTTTAATTCAATGGGGCCTATTTTCCAGTTTATACTTCCATAATATTAAAAAATATAGGATAAGTTTTATTCTTTATTCCTGTGGCATACCAAAAGCAAGACCAAAGGAACTATACAATTTTTGCCCCTTCTCTATGGTTAATGGGGACCCACATTTTTAAAAACAAAAAAAAATACAGGTCTTTGCTACATTTCACTTAAGTGGGCATATAAATACTTACATGCTAAACCTTTAGCACTCTGAATTATCCAAGCATATTGGGCACACTATATGTCAGCCTCTCAACTGTAGTAGCCCTATTATTGATTTCAGTCAATGTCATTTGTAGAATTGAATCAACTGCAGAGTGCTCAAGGTTAACACTTTATGTTAAAGTAGACCTTTCTATTGAAACTTATATATTTTTAGAAATTAACAGTATCAGAGATATTTTAATCATTTCACCCCAAGCATGGTGATAAAGCAACTAAGATGCAAAGGGTTTTAATGAGAAACTGAGGAAACAATAGAACAACAATAAAAGGACAGGTTTCAAGTTTACAGAAGATGACAATTGATGGTGCATTTAAATTTTTGAAGATCATAATTGACAGGAAAGCAAAAAGCTGGAAGAGTTCCACGGGTTAGAGAAGAAAGTATTCGAATAGAACTTATTACATCTAGCAATTTAACAGTAAAATTCTGAAACCTAGCTGACAATATAGTACTATACTTAAATTCATGAGGTACCAAAGAGGAAAGCTCATCACAACAATTTAAATGAAAATATTTATAGAAAAGTCAGAGAGGAGCCAATTGTGTTGATTTTTCTGTAAATTGTCATACCTGTCAAACAGGTACATCTTTGATACAAGCCGCCCCCATAGCCTTATAAATTACATGAAAATAATAGATATTATATTTGTTCATGTCTAATGTGATCATTATTTTTGTACGTAAAAAGCATGAATGTATTTTCTCGTGTATAATGCATGTAAGGTGTGAAACTATTGATTATCTTTTTTGGTTTGCACGTCACAATGCATCATCTTATTGTTACGATTACTTTAGAAGAAAGTGTAAATCTCAAACTTTGATATCTTTGGACACTGGAGGTTGGCAAAGATGATGGGTTTTTACTACTGAAATGTATCTATTGACCATTCATGAGGAGTAAAAAAAAAAAAAATTTAAATCCAAAGTCATTTTAACCAAAGAAAATCAGTTGTGTATGAAAGTTGGCCATTAAAAAAAGTAGCCTTGTCACATCACATTAGGGTCATAGGAATACCACATGCAGCCATAGTTTTAGAATAGGCTCACTGCATAGAAGCTATTTTATTGATAGGAGTAATCAAAATTACCAAAATATTACTTGTGTATAATGTGACTTTTTATACTTTTGTATAATGTGTTTTGTCTTTTAGTTCTGATACAAATTTCTTGCCTTGTACATTAATAAATGTAGTAGTTGCAGATTGTATGATTAGCTGAATTTTGCCTATTATTCAATTTTGCATCATTTTTTTTTTTTTTTTTTTTTTTTTTTGTAATTATTCTCAGGATTTCAATATTGCTAAGTTCATATTATTCTTTAAAATGATAAGCATTTTATCAATGTTTTTAAATTTTGCTATATATTATTTGGAGATGAGGGTAGCTAGCATAACACAGCATAGAGAATGGAATATGTAAATGGTTCAAACTCCAGCTGGGGCAGTTTGTATTTGTTTAGGAATAATACTCTTGAGAAAAGTATGAATTCACTTTTTCCAGCTATGAGTAAATAGTAGGAGCTCTGTATCCCCATAAGGAAATATATCACAAACATTGGGCTGGCAACTCAGCCCAGTTAAAAATAATTTAAAAATAAAAGAAAAATTCTCTTGATTTTTGTCCTGTGCCCCACAAGGCAGCTGCAGATATATCCTTTCTTTTTTCTTACCAAACTGGACTTGTATTTTTGCTGCTGCAAAAGAAAAAGAGATATTGGTTAACTATTACTGACAACATTTTTAATTGTATTAAAGTCTCAAACCAGCCAGTTTGTAATAGGTCTTTTAGTTTTTAAAATATATAATATTCCAAGGATAATTTGTGTATCCATTCTTGTAAAGACATTTTTCTTAATCATAGTGCATAAAAATAACTGGCAGCAGTCTAAGCATGAAATAAGTCCTTTTCATTTTTAATTTACATTCCTTGTACATTTCTAATATATGATAAAACCTTTCTGGTTGGAGGTCATTGATAATAATTTAGAGTATTTGTTCAAAATATCATTTGCATATGATAGATTCAGATTTTTGTATAATGTTAGTTATTTCAAAAGTTGTTTGGACCTTTGAACTTGGTCTTAGTATTGCTTTTCTGTTACCATATTTTGGTTGATCCATAACTAGTTAGCCATTTCTGTAGAAAAGAAACCTCTCTCTCACTTAAAGAGAGTATGTTTGAAAATAGTTGTAGAATGGATTGACTTAAACATTTTGGTAACAACAAAAGTAGTATGAAGTCTAATAATTCAAATACTTTGAAAGATTCAGATTTGTGAGAATTAAATAAAATTTTGTTTACTAATTTGTATCTGTTGCATGTTATCTCAGAAATTCTTTGATTAGAATATGTAATTCTTGTGACAGCTGAAAATCTTTATCTAAAGTCTATTTTGGGTCTCTGAGTTTTATGGTTTATGTTGGCATGCTATTCAATCTGTATTCATTGTCTAATTGTAATAGTGTCTTATATTAATGTTCTCTTTGGTGCATACAGTTAATAGATTGTTCACAAACATTTGATCGTATTATCAGACTTTTCATGCACTTTTAAAACAGATTATGAAATTGTTCTAATCAAAATTGGATTCAGTGTCAAAAATGAAGTTTAAAAACGGTTTTATATTTTCAAAAGTATTTGTATACATTATGCCTGTAACAAAAACAGTAAGTTTATAGAATTTGATAATAGCCTGATTATTTTTTAAATTAAAATTTTCAATGTCATTCATAATCATTCACAAAAAATATAGCTATAGCCTATTGACTGTATGCAAGCTTTTACTTCTATATTGTCAATGTTATCAGTATAATTAGACTTTATTATGCATATTTTATTAATTTTGACGAGTTTCTTCATATTTTTCTATTATGATGGACTTTATTCTAGTAAACTATCTTTTCTTAAAGAAATATCAGTACTTCATAAAAAGAAATTTACTAATTATTTAGTATTTCTGGCCTTAGAATATATTTATATCCTGATAGCCTTATTTAATGTATTAACTATTGAGTGATTATTTGGTATTTTAATAAACAATATATTCTTTTGTATGGTATAGAATCAATGTATTCTGTAAATATTAGTAAAATATTATGGTATATATTAATATAATAGCATAATACCACTCCTGATTTTACATTGGTTTAATATAATTGAATATTCAGATATGATAAACAAAATATAATTAAAAAGTAGTTTTTGGTGGTTTTTTTAAGAATTAATTTACCAGTTTTAGATCTTATTTATTTATATATATATATATATATATATATATATATATATAATAATATATATATATATATATATAATATATATATATATATTCTACATGTCCTAATTTTGTTTAAATTTGAACCAGAAATTAACCATCCAGACCTGTGATGAATCTCAAACTGATATTGGCCAGATACATTGTTTCAAGAATTTACTTGAATCTGTATTCCAAACATTTTCTTTTAATCTCAACATGAACCAAGCAAATTTTTTAAAATAAAAGGTTTTTAAAAAAAAAAGTCATATTTTTATTTCCAGAACAAAAAATAAGGCTATTATTTTATTTGAAAAAATTAACAAAGTTAATTATATCCTATATAACCAATATATGTCTGAAGATACTGTGGAAAAAATACAAACTTAATTAGTATCTTTGAAGTATTACCTGAAGTAATATTAGAATAATGTGGTAAGATTTGTTATTTTTATAACTTGCAAGCCTTAAAAATAATTTATATTTGCCAAATTTTGTTCACAGATTAATATATTTTAGTTTGTTTTTTGGATAAATTTATTAAAAAAAAATCAAAATCAGTTAAATAGTGTTTCAATTCCTTCCCCTTCCCAAATTCTGTGAGTAGCTTTGAGGTTCAATTTAAAATAATAATGACTCAGAATTGCCAGAATCTCAATACTTGTATCTACCATTGAAATCTCTGAAACAAAAAATACAACAGGGCAGTATTGATAATATTAATATAGTTGTGTGCTAATCTTTAAATATGTACATGAAAGAAAAAAATTTACAAGTAAATATCTTTTTGATACTCACTAATATTTGTTTTTTAACTGAAATTGATATACTTACTTAACAAGAACATAACTTTAACTGACACTGTAGATTTATAGAAATAACACTTAAAATTATTTTGAAAAGTGAATAATATAAGAGTTAATAATAGTTTCTCCTTTGTTCTGCTTAGCCACTATTCACATCAAGAGTAATTTGTTTTTAAGTGCCTCTCTCTCCCCAAAAGCATACTACCAGCTTCAATGTCTGTTTTAAACCTTTTGTTTTTGGAAATTTTTATTAATAAAATTCTGCATCATTAATACCATTTGAGTTTAATTTCTCCAAACAGAAAGTGTGTGGCCAAAACAAAAATGATGCTAAAGACATAATAAGGAAAAGAAAGCATAAAGGCCTCAGTGGACTAACTGAAGACTATTTGTTTAAACCCTTGGATAAAACTTACCAAGTATCCTGTTGGTCAAAACGTCCATTATGTAAATCACAGGTTCTTTATGCAGGTATTTTTAAACTTTTATATCTATGTCTATATTTCTAAGATGAGGTATTGTAACTATTTACACTATTTACATTTTTCAGACTGTTGTCCTCATCTTTGTTGTTATATTCACAATGTTTCATCCATTGTATGCTCTGGCCTTCTTCAGATGATTGGAATTTCAAACTGAACCCTTTATTTAATCTACCAGGGTAGATTGTTCTAGTTCCATGTGTCTTCTGGATATCTGTTTAAGTTTCGGTTATTTCCCTTTTAGCAATTCAACTCTCCAAGTTTTTTTTGTTCACCTCTGCTGTGGTCACATATTGAACTCACAACTCTTTGGGTCAAGTCACTGGATTACTTCAACCAATACTTTTATCCACTGGGTCATATGTCCTTATTCCAATCATCTGAAGAAGACCAGAATGTACATCTAGTGAATATGACAACAAAGATGAGGACAACAGTCCAAACAATGTAAATAGTGTAAATATTTTATCTGAATTCTCAAACTTTTTTTTTAACATTTGCAGTGGACTTGATTGGCAGTTTAAACAATAAATTATTACTGTTATAAATAAATGTTGAGATATTAAAATCATTTGTTATTCAAATATTGATTTCCTACAAGCAATTTTTTTTTTTTTTTTAACTTTCAGCCTTCATAACTGACAGTTTAAATTGGCACATTGATAGTCTTACTAAATGTACATGTAAAATGTTACAAAAAAATAACTTTGTTGTATCATTGCTTTTCATGTTATAACTAAATACATGTAAAAGCTGCTTTTTTATATACTAAATTCTAATATATATTTTTGTGTTGAATAATAAAAGATCTTTGTATTGAGTCTATATAAGTCTGAAACTGTTTGGAATATGTTTTAAAAATTCTTCTCTTTTCTTTCCAGCCTTAGATGCCTTTGTATTGCTGCAATTGTATGAAATAGCCTTGGAAAAAAAAATTGATTTAAGTACAGAAAATACAAGTCAATCTTCATCTACAACATTAGAGCAAATGTTTCCAAATGATGTGGATTGTGACAAGAAAATGGTGAGTATGATTTATTTCATGCAGAAAATGCCATCTGGCAAAAATTTCTGTTCATAAACATTAATTCTTTTTGTATCAGCTTTTCATGTAGAAAATGTTTATGGAGATTACTAACTTGAAAATACTTGACATTTACAAAGTTTACCTGATGGTGGGAGGACCAAAGAAGAGATAAGAAGATTGCATAACACCAATTTTTCATATAGAGTGAAGACTACTGGCTAGTGTAACTGTAACACTTCAGGCTTGATCTTGTTTCATGGCAACAAATGTAACCTTTCAGGGTCAATCCTGGTTCATGACAACAAATGTAACCCCTTCGTCATGGTCAGCCTGGGGTGATCTCTTCAATGCTGCCTTATCCCACGTTGTGATTGATTGATTATAAGGAGACCAAGATCAGTTCGTCACAGGTGCCTTCATGTTGGACTGGTCCAGGTTGAGCGAAGTCGTACAATAAAATTGGAGAAAAAATAGTACTTGAAATATATGTAAAAAAATAATTACTATTTTTATATCGAATACCGCATACAATGGTTCATTAGTAGTTCTTTTTTGGTCCTGAGAAATTAAATTACTTCATAATTTTAGGGAATTCTCCTTCTCTCATGGGAGATGGGTGCAGGCATTACTCCACCTGGTTACTTCTACTTTCTCTTATTACCATCTCCCATCAGTGTTTTCCAGTCGACATGGCCAGCTCCTTCAACTTCCTTAATGTCTTGTCTGTGCCTGCTACCCTTCAGTGTTTGCAGGCAGACCCTTCTCCTTCTTTGAGTGCTCTTCTGTGCCTGTCACCTCCAGCATTCGATCAAAGACTAATTAAAAAAAATTATGGTTCCAAATGCTATCATCTCATAAGTGAATTGACATAACAATTAGCTTTCTTGCCTTTGACCCAACAGACACTTTTCCAGAGAAAATTTTGCAACTCACATTATAGTAATAATTTGTTCAGCTGAAGGTCATTATTTTGCAGGTGTTCAATTTATTGTTTTCCATCCTGACATCTCTGTAAAATGACTGCATTTGGTTTAACCTAATTCTCCTCATGTTGATCTCTCAGGCATTGTTTGCCAAAGATTGTCAATACTTGGCCAGTTTGCACAAATCAAGCATTGCTTTCAGCCGGTCACCTGGTCTATTGTATAAATCTCTATTCTCTGGGAACTAGTTGTCAATCTATCATTCTTAATATTTTTTAACCCTTTTCATGGTAGATTATTCATCAATATCCTGTTTTCATTGATATTCCAATTCGTCATTATTAAAGACCAGCAACCCAAATAGTGTTGCATAGCATCTGAAATATAAACTTCTTGAATGTGCTTGAACACCAAGATAGCTGTTTCAACCAATGAGGCAAACAATCTTCTTTCTTTTTTTACTCATTACCAATTTTAGTTTAATTTGGTTCAGATAAATTGGGAAGAAACACAGAATAGAAATATTGTGCCAATCTTCAAAGTGGGTAAAACATGCCTATCTAGAAAATTATTCAAATTTCTGTCATTTAACCTAGGCTCAGACATCTTGCATCAACAAGAAATGGAATTGATTCATCTAATGTGTCATTGTAACAATAAAGAATAGGGTTTTTAATATTTTTAAAGTTATTACTGTGAGTTTATACTAAAGATGGCTTGCATAACATTTATGAATATAGATAATCTTTACTTTTATTATTTCTTTAAATCATTTGATACATTTCTTTTTATCTATCCATTCATAACTTGTTTCATTTTCTATTGCTCAAAACCTTAACTTGCTTCTGTCACTGACAAAATCTCTTCTCTATCTTACTATAAATGGAACTATTTTATACAAAACTGAACATTTATTTATTTCTTATATTGTAGGACATGGAGTCCACAACATGTGATAAGGAAGAAACCAGTTGTGATTTTGACTACAACAATAGTAGCAGTAGTCAATGTTCACTTTCATCCGGCCAGCACAATGTTCCTGCCATTTCTCCTCACAGTTTACGTGTCATTGTTGATACCATGTTACAAGGGTTGGGATGGAGTCTCCGCAGTGTTGGAGTTGACACTCTCATCTTGAAAAATGGTCAAAGCCATAAAGATGCCATTGCTGTGAGTATCTGACTTAAACCTCTTCCTATGGCTTTATTCCTGAATTGTTGTACAAGGTGGAACTATTAAATAATGAGAATGGGCTTTTATTTAACTTAAACCACACATGCATGCATGAACCACATATGGTGTATACATTGACTAATAGGCAACTATAAACAATCCTTGAGATAAGTTTCAATCTGATTTTAAAGTAATTATAAAAAGCACATTCACACGTTTTCAAAAATCATCGTCACAACAATCAGTTTGTATTTGCAATTCGCCTCTGCAGATGATCTCAGAGGAGATCGAAATTACTTGGGTTAACAAAACCTACAGCGCCTTCCTTGAATTTCAACTTAACACCAAGAAGCTAATTAGAGCACTAAAAAGGATTTATAAAAATAAATAAACATAATGTCTAAATTATTCAATGAAACATGCTTGAAAATATATATATATATATATATATATATACACACACACACACACATTCAGTGTGTGATAAGTAAATTGTTGCCATTTTATACTAATTTCGCACATGTGTGTTTATTTTTTATTTTGTCAACTGCACAGTATAGTAGGGTCAGTTTGGCACCATCTGTGAGAAAAAGAACACCTTGACACAATTCATTCTGCCAGAAATTTGGAAATGGCATGCTGTACTACTTGGCATTCATGCAAGCTGCTGCTGGAAGATCCTATGTCTGGCAGCAGGACTCACAAGCAGGAGAACCCAGTCATGGCTGACAATTCTGCAACCACATAACTCCTTAGATCTGGTTACCTAACTTCCCAGACTGCAACCCCCTTCATTATTATGTGTGATGTGCGATCAAGCAGGAAACCAACAAAATTCCTTGTCACACCAAAGATGAACTGAAGGCAAGGATTATGACAGCATTCACCAACTTAAACAGTGGAATTTCAGGAGATTTCAAAGTCATCCGGAGGTGGTGGTGGAAGTCAATAGCAATTTTATTGAATAACTTTACACAAAAATATTTTGAAATACTAAAGATTAATTTTGATAAATATATCTGCTAAAATGTCAGTTATTTTCATTTTTGTGCAATTTAGACTAGAATTTATCCATCGCACCCTATGTATATATTATGGCATATTGACACGCCTATAAAAAAAGTGTTTTTTTTTTATATGACCATCACCTTTGTATAACCCTGTATTTGATGTCTTTATTAATGTCTAGTTTGTATTATTAACATCGTATATTGAATAGTTTGTATTATTAACATCTTATATGGATGGTCTTTACTTAATGGTTGCATATTAATTTACCAGTTTTGAATTTGATTTGTTTTTTGGGGTATTTTTACTGGTATCTTGAAGCCTTTTAATTATCAACTACAAAAATTCTATGTAGGAAGATGACTGAGCATATAGCTAGTTAACATTATGCTAAATTATTCCCCTACCCCTTCCCCCTTAACTTCCTATGAAAGTTGAACTTATACTTTTCTATATTTTACAAAATGATGTAATCATTTGTCTAAGTTGTAAACAAAATTGTCTATGATTCTATGTAGACAACTTCATGTCATGACCTATATGAATTTTCTCAGTTGGTTTAGATTTTAGCATAGGCCTCATATTTGATTGGTTAACCACAATAAACCCAAAAGCCTCATTTTGTTTTTGTTTTTCTGTCTTTTTTTTCTCTTTCAAAAAAAAAAAAAGAAGTATTCTGCTTTCAAAATTAATTGTTTACTCACCAGTAATTTACCATCACCTGAGGAAACATGATTGCTATTGTGTAGCGATTTTTAACCTGTTTTTTTTAATCTCTGATCATAGATAATATTTAGCTTTACTCTGTATTGAGCGCTCTTTTAAATTAAATATTACATACAGTGGAATTTTACTCCATTTGTTCTTATCTTACCCGGAGATATATATATATATATATATATATATATATATATAAGAAACTGTTACAAAATAATTATTCTATTATATCACTTTATTCAAAGTCTAAATTTTTATTTTTCAGTTGGCAATCCGGGAGAATCGTGTTGTTCTGACTTCAGGCAAAGTATATCAAATGGTAAGTTTTACATATAGAACTTAATAGTACCTAAATTCTAATGTCACCAAGAAAATTTATGTAAAACTTCACTCACTGTTTTCAATATAATGACAAATAACTTGTTGGCTTTAGGATTTATTCTCCAAATTTATACTTCTTAAAATGGAGTTAGATGTCTGCATGTTCAGTGCCATTTTGAAATGATCCAATATATTTTTAAAAAATGCACACATATCACATTTGAGGTTAATAATATTTTTCTTGAATACCAATGACTCTTCCAATATTTTCCATCAGTCACCCATGAGGAATTATGTTGGACTGCATATCTTTGTCTTGTTTATTGGTTTCTAGGATATAACGGGATAACTTTCTAATCTAAAATACTACAGGTTGGCATTGTCTTTTGCATTTCAAAACTTTGGATATACAGATGCTGAAACTTAAATGATTAAAAACTGAAAATCTATTAAATAGGATTATTTACTCTTTTTTATAGAGGTGGCAATATGCCATAAAATTACAAGTATAATATTTTTATATTTTCAATTCTTATTGGTAAGCAGATATGCAAATTTATACAACCATATAATGATCACCTGTTTATGTAAATAAGGTTTGATTGTATTTTATTTTTGAACATAATGGAATTCCTAGTTTACATCCAAACCTATCTTTTGCAAATCCCATACAAAAATGTGCATCTGAGGTTTCCTCCTGGGTAAAAACCAGCATTGAGGCCTTCATTCCAGCAAGAAAATACAAAGTTAAATTGCGCTCACTCTTTGGTTCTCACCTGCTTGCACTGCTGCTATAGACAATAGGAATCACTTCCATCTCTACCGGAGCAACATGTCTGATTACAACAGACATCTCTTTATCTCTGCTTGTAATGAATGCAAGCGTATCCTCAATGAAGCAAAGTTACTATTTGCTGATAGGATGAAACAACGTATTGCATTTCGCAAGTTTGGTTCTAAAGATTATTGGTAGCTCTGCAAGAGCGTGCTGAACTACAACAAATCCTCAATCCCTTCTCTATTCAATCAATTCAAAGTCCTAACATCCTCAGCTGATAAGGCTGAATGCTTTGCTCGGAAATTCTAACCCAACTCAGCACGCAACTCATCTGGAGTGCCCACACCTGATTTTCCCCTTAGAACTGAGTCTATACAGAGTGAGATATGCATAACCCTGTCGATGGTATTAGATACCTTTAAATTAGACTCTCATAAAGCAATGTTGGAGACTGGATACCAGCTGTAGTCATAAAGAAATGTGCCCTGAGCTGGCTCCAGTTCTTTCCAAACTCTACAACTATTGCCTCACTGATTCTTGCTTTCCAGCCTGTTGGAAGTCCCCTTCTGTCATCCTGGTCTTTAAGAACTCTGGAAACCCTTCTGACCCATTTGACTACCATTCCATCAGTCTCCTACCACTCTTCAGCAAAGTCTTTAAGGCTTTAATCAATGCCAAAGTAATTAAGCATCTCACCTCCCAATAGTCTGCTCTCTGACAAACAACATGGTTTCCACTTTACCCAGTCTACCACTGATGTACTTACAGCCATAACTGAATATGTATACCAAGCTCTTGATAATAATGTCGATGCTTGAACTGTTATTTTAGATATATCAAAGGCATTTGGCATGCTGGCCTTCTACGTAAGCTTCGGGGTTACCATATTACAGAATGATTATTTGATTTAATCCAATCATTCCTGTCTAACAGTGAAATGAAGGTTGTCCTGAATGGGTTCTCCTCCAGTTCATTCCATACAAACACTGGTGTTCCTCAAGGTTCTATACTTGGTCCTACACTTTTTTTGATCTGCATCAATGATCTTCTGACCTCATCAGTTCTCAGGTCGGCATCTATGCAGAATGACACTACCATTTGCTCCTGTCTCAATAGTTAATCTGGTTGTTGGTCTTTAAAACGACTTCTAATCTGTGGTTGATTGGGGCAGAAAATGGCTTGTGAATTTTAATGTATCCAAAACGAAACTGCTCTCATTTACTCACCATAGAGAAATGTCTTGCCTCTCCTCAGTATGGTTGATGCTCAACTCTACGAGAGCGCCTTCTTGGTCTCACATTCTCCACTGACCTGAGATGGAACAACTGCATTGAATCAATTGCTGCATCTACCGGAAGGAAAATTGGTTCTCTGTGTCATGCCAGAAGGTTTTTCTTGTCTATCCTCCACATCTACCATTTGTCCATGCATGGAATACTGTTGCCATATATGGTCTGGTGCCCCCGCTGTTCATTTTGAGGTTCTCAACAAAATCCAAAAACAGATATGCAATGTGATCAGTCCTGACTTGATGTCTTGACTCCAGTCACTTTCTCACTGACGTAATGTGGCTTCCCTCTGTCTTTTCTATAAATATTTTCATGGCAACTGCTCTGATGAGCTATTTTCACTGATGCCCCAACTGCATGAATTTAAACGAGCTACTAGGTTGGCATCACAGTCTCACCCTTTACTGTTGAAACAGTTAAATGCAATTGCCTCTTCTACTCCAACAGCTTCTCTCGCACTTCCCAACTGTGGAACTCCTTTCCTCTTACTTGGTTCCCTGACAACTATAATCTTCAAGAATTTCAATGTAATGTCAATCGACATCTTCTGTTGCCTTGATTGCCATTCTTCTTTTTATTCCCCCTCTATTCTTATTATCCTTCCCCCCATACCCAGTCTTTCCCTTAATTACATTCTCTGTAGCCCCTTGCATACTAGTGGCACTCTTTCCTTGCTTAGGATGAATTGCTTAAAAAAAAAAATGTGAGGGCTGACAAAAAAAATTTATTTTTATTTCAACTGTGTTTTATAATAGCTCTTTCATGAAACACAGAAGCTGATAAATTTGGATATCTTTGACTGTTTAAAAGTAACTATGGTAGCTTTTGCCAAGAAAAAAAAACTTATCCACTGCACTGACATTGTACTCAAAATAAGTAAATTAATACTGCAAATCAGTCAAGCAAGTAAAAGTGGTTGTATACATGAATTGGCTAATTTTAAGTGAGGCAGCCTAAAAGTCTGCAGTTGTTGTTACCTTAAACAAAATTTCCCAAAATATTGCATGCTTATAGTTATGGAAGCCTCTGATTCTGATATAATTATAGGTTTCTACTTAAGAGCACTAAAAATTTGCAGCCTCCAATAACTACCCAAAGAAGAAGCACATATAGAAAACACATTTAAAAACCTCAAATATGCCTATCACTTCATCCACAATGCAAAGAGAAATGCACAAAAAATGTACAACTGCAATAAAAATAATATTATCCACCATAATAAATTAAACAAAAACAGATACATAATACTACATACCAATTCTATAGCATCCACTATCCAAAATACCTTATCCCATCTAAACAACATCCAAATAGTTACAACCGCTTCAAAAATTACTATGGATATAATCAGATCTAAAAACACCCATATCAATAATAGTTTAAAAGCAGGCATATATAAAATAAATTGCCTAGATGGTTCTTCACAATACATTGGGGAAACAAGCAGAAATTTAAAAAAAAAACATGTCTATGAACACATAAGAGGCCTTATAAATAATAATTTAACAAATGCATTAGTCATATACAGAAATAAATTCAACCACAATTTTGATTTAAAGAATGCTATACTCATCAAAAGAGAAAATAATTTACCCAGAAAGAAAATCCTTGAGAGTACTACCATCAAATATTATCAAAATATTAATCTGTAACAATATTTAACATGGCATACGGACAAAAAGGTTTAAAGAAAACGATTTTTTTAAATTTTTTTTCTCAGAAAGGGATTCATTTTCCCTGGATATTGAGAACAGGTTAGAAAAAAAATACAAAATACTATTATTGCTGTCTGGCAAGAGACAGCAGACAGGTGCAGGAGTCAGGGGCCAGAGGTCAAAGTCGTCTGTTGAAAGGTGCCGATGTCCATGTACTGGGAAAATTGTTAGCCAAAATTTCCCCGAGAAAAAATTATAATTGTGAAAACAGACTGAGCAATTGTGAAGGCAGAAGATGACGTCAGGAAGGCTGACGTCATATAATGGCTCCTCCCAAAAGAGGAGGGAATCTTCCAAAATTGGAAGTGTGAAACAAAAAAACGAAAAGAGACTGGTTGAATTTTTGGATATTTGCATAAAACCCCCTTATGCACCCTCACCATAACAGTAGAGACACCCATAAATACAAGTGCCCACGGGAGGCTAAAGTAGTTGGAGTTAGTTGAAGTTGTGGCCCGGAGTTGCAGAAGCCATGTTGGGGAGTTAAGAGATTTTTTTGCCATAACGCTGTTTTGCCAACCTAATAATAATAATAATAATTATCTGCTTAAGAAGAAAAACTCCGACGATAACCTTGTGCCATTCTTGAAAGTACAAACAACAGTACTTGAAGTTAAATCCAGTTGTCAAGTCTGGCCACCCTTAGAGAAGTTAGCCGAAATTTTTGTTCCATCGTCAAATATTAGAAACTGGTTGGGAAAAGAAGAAAAAGAAAAAAAACTGTAAAATTTTTTTTTTTTTATTATTATTATAAACATCATCTAGCGACTTATTCAGGCGTCATCTATTTTATTTTCAATTTTGTGTGCACGTATTCAACTCCTTGGTTTAGCGTGGTTGAGATACCCCAGTGATAATTCAGCTTGACTCTCTTAAGATCAAAAATCACAACGTGAGTAAGAGTGGTCATAGTTGAAGAGGGCAACTTAAAGACCAGCTGCTTTGTCAAACACAACCAACAAGTGTAGGCTGACGGTTTGTTCTCTGATACGAAGATTGATCATGACCACCAAAGACATCAGTCTGCAGCCTTGGCTACGCCGCCATAAATCTTTGCCCGTTTTTTTTTCTCCCCACAATCTCACCTATCCTGAAGGAATTACTATTTTCCTAAGCCAACATACACAAGTGTGTTGTAAAATCAAATGAAAATGGTGGAATCCATCATTTCAACTTTTGGATGTGACACTGGTCAGTTCAGGGTTTGATGTGACACTGAGTCATCAGCCCGTGGTCAACTCAAAGTTGTGGCAGGAAACTGTGATATTTCTCCTACCAGCATTTTGGGGTGAACTCTTAGCTGCTGCCACCAACCTGTGTCCCGGTCGATCAGTGGTCGTTGCTGCCCAGCGGGATCCTTTGGTCAGGGTACCAAGTGGGATGGTTGGTCGATTTCAAACAGCTTCACACCTGATGCAACTGGTTCAACACCAGCTCCATCGTCCTCAGCTCACTTCCAATGTCTGGTTACCGAAGCAACTACTTCGATCTCGAGTCTAACCTACCCACGTTATGATTTTGATCTTAGATGAGATCAATCAGACATCAGGCCATAGTGTAATATGAGTTTAAAATGGAGGTGATATCACACAAGCATAAAGAAAAGAAGCAGTTAAAAACCCAAGAGGTTCAAGTATATTGAAAGAAACAAATTAACTTTTATCTGTCTGTTATATACAGGAGTGTGCGTTTCCCTCCCAACCTGTTTTCTTTGGAGAGTGACACTTTTACACTTCTTAGGCAAGTTCTGGTCTTCTAAGTCAACTGGTTTAGTTTTTAAGTGCTGGCTTAGCTTCGTTTGTATATCTTGCTACTGGTAGGAAAGCAAAGTCAAAGATAGGAAGTTGTGGAATCTCTCAGTCAGCTTCTGTGAGGCAACGCTCTGGTTCTTGCTACTCAAACTGCTGGACTGAACTCAGCTAACTCTACTGGCAAACTGCCCAAGGGCACTCGCTTATATGGACACTGACCAAAAAACGGTGTGGGGTTAGACACAGCCTGAGGTTTTCAGTAATTCCCGATTTCTGACAAGAAACCTCTTTGTTGTCTGGCCAGGAAAATTGATTACTTCCCATTTTGGAAAATTAATCACTTTCGATTTTTGGGGGGATCCCTTCGTCCATGAGGAGAGGTTGCAGAATAGCTATCCTCCTAAACTCCCTCCTTCTCATATTGGTACCTCATACCAATTCCTTTCAGTGGGCGTTAACAACTTCCCCATCTTTCTCATCTAATTGCCTCTACCTATCACCATTGCTACCATTTGACCAATGGCGTCCTAGCCGTGCTGATGTGGCTAAGCTGGCCTCATTAAAATTATAAACTAAAATTTTTTTGTTTAGAAAATTCTCATTCTCACCGGCCAAAATTCTTACTAAAAACACATGTCTCTGTCTCTTAAAATCTCTGTTTATTTCTGAGTTTAGAATTTATCAACTTGTTTTTAAAATTCCCTTTTTCGACTTTACAAATAACATATGGCCTGTCGTAGCTTGGCCGACTTCTAGGACTTTGCAATTTCAAATGATATCTCAGATGCTCTTTGGCTATTTCATGTTTTCTTTGCAATTATCATAAATCATTTGTCATGGTCTGTTGGAACCCTTGGCTTCTCGGAAAAGAAAAATAAATCTCTTTATCTTCAAATTAGCAATTATTTTGAGATATTTTCTCATGCCAAAATTTTTATAATTAACATATGGCCTTGCCTTGCCAGCACTTAAAAAGATATCTTGGAAAAATAAACAGGGGTAATTCTCTCTACCCCATACTGACAAATACTTTGGAATATTTTCTCATGCCAAAATTTTTATAATTAACATATGGCCTTGCCTTGCTGGTACTTAAGATGATATCTTGTTTCGATTTTTCTTTAACCAGTACTTTTAAAAACATCATTAATCAATTGTCAAAAGCTCACATATGGCATTTTTGTGAGTCCACTGTTTGCCAATTCTCGGCTTTTGAGAAAAGTAACTTTTTTTTTTTTTTTTTTTTTTTAAGTAAAAATAAAATCCAAGGGTATCTTCCTTTCCATTCTCAGTATTTTCTTATTTAATTTTTTTATGATTAATTAGTTAATCAATTACTGTAGCTAAATAGTTTAACATGGAGATGTATAATACAAATGTCCATCTCATATTTCAATCCCAGAAACTTCTTTTGTTTGTCTTTTTCGAGTATACAAAATGATGTAATCTAAGGTCTAAATGCCTAGATATTTCTGTTAACAATGTTAAAAATTTCCTTTCGAAGATGCCATTCGATGTAATCTAGGGTCTAATGCCTAAATCTTTACAGTCAACTTGTTGAATATTTATGAGCGTTCTTAAGTTTGGAAATTTTGAGTAACTGTCAAATGTATACTTGTTGCAAAATAAAGCCATCACATTTGGCTTGATAAAGTCTGTTGAATAACGAAACACATTGGCTAAACTGAGCATAGTTTCCTCAACTTTTCATTCATATATATATATATATATATATATATATATATATATATATTATATAAAAGAAAGACTAACTTTAAGCCTGCTGGATGTAGGGTAAATTTTCAAGTCTTATTTTGTGAAAAACAAAATGCTGGATGATACAGTAAGTAAAAAAAAAACAAAAAAAAACACACACAATCTTGCAATAATGCTGGTTCTTTTTGTTTAGTTCTGTGCCAGACTTGGAGAAGACAACTGTTACTGTGTAGCAAACAACAAAGCCAAGAAACAATTACAAGATGTTTTGGAACATTTCAATGTAAGAGTCCAGAAACAAGATATCTTGAGCAGGTGCCAGGTGAGTCAAAATCCTCAGTTCCTAATTTAGCAATTTCTTCTATTTTGGTTAACAAGGTTCTGCCTCATTGGTACCATTTGAGGAAAAATAATTGTTATTCTATTTTGAGAAGTCTAAAACTTATCTGATTATTTTCAGAAAATTTTATGGTATAGAGAAGTGCTGTCCAAGCATTTGTAACATGTGAACCACAATTTCTAAATTTATATTTTAGGTGTTTTTAATTTTATATCTGTTATAGGATCTTACCCATAATAATAATAATAATAATAATAATGGACTATTCCATACTTAATAAATACTGCGCCTCAGGAGTAGGCAAGGAGTCAGTAGTTCAAGTCCTGACCGGCTGTTTGGTTGAACTCTCTGCCTTTGGGTGGGGAGGAACCCGAATGAGACTCCGCCCTTCGGTGTAGCCTCATTCGGGGAGGTAAACCAACCCTGAACCCATGTATACAGGTTCAATGGGTATATTTTTGGGCCGAGCCCACGGGCTCGGATATCCCACACTAAATAACCAGTGGGGGGTTTGACTGAATATCATCAGTAGTTCAAGTCGAGTCAGAGGCAGTCCGAAACGGAGTCACGTTCAGACAATTACTGCAAGACATTGGAATAGTGATACTGGTCGAGACTACATTGTTCTCTCTACTAAACCTGATTGTTCATACTAACACTTCTACTTCTCTGTATATATTCCTGTTTGTAATATATCTGTGTTATTCCATACCTGTGTTCGAGTTCTTTATTGGTTCTACCTTGGACTATCACCATGGTACAAGGAACCGGACCATAACAATATCTTTCTATACAAATATAAAAGACTTACATCATCGTTATTGTTGTAGAAGAAAAATGAGGAAGCAGCAATACAATGTGAAATTTTTTATGAATTTTACAACAAACAAGGTTCTTAATCTTGTGTGGTTGCTGCTCTCACAAAGTCTTGTTTATCCATCAAATATGTTCAGTCTTTTCCACTTTGTCAAGCTGATCTTGGTTCTTGGTCTGCCTTAGGCATACAGGCCATGTGTTGCATGTGATGAAGAGGTTTAAATGATGATTGACTCTGTAAGCAAGTATTTAAACTGGCCTCAAACTACCTTTTCACTTTAAATGCTGACTAGTTAACAAAGCTAAAATCATACAAAAAGAATTAAACTAACATGAATACAATTTTCCTTTTCTCTATCCAGGACATGTTTGTTGAATAAATTTTCTTAATATAAATTACTTATTGCTAGTTTATTGATATTTTTAGTTATTGATATTTTGCTTGATCTTTTGTAAATCTGTTCAAAAAGTTTGGGGGATTTTTATGTTACATGCAATATAAAATGTATTAATGAATGAATTCTTTTTTTTTTTTTTTTTTTTTTCTTCCTGTAAATTTCTCTTTTTTTTTTTTTTTTTTTTTTTTTTTTTTCCAGCTCTGCAATTCAAAGACATTCATCTTAGTTGAATCAGAAAAAATGCGAATTCTAAAAGAAGTTAAATCTCAACAACAAAAATGTTCACCAGACAAGGCGTGGTCTTCCAATCCAAATGGTTTTGGGAGCCCAGAGTTCATTCCTGATCCTGATGTATCTGCTTGCAAATTAATGCCCATATTGAAAGATGTCAGTGTCAGAAGTGGTCCAATTGTGGAGGATGAGCATTTCATTGACATGAACACCGCCATCTTTCGCAACAGTGGTGTACCCATCCAGTTGGAATATATACCAGATTGTTTATTTGATGAGAACAAACTGTTTTACTGCTGTGTCAGTTGTGGCAAGGTATACTGGGATGGCTGCCATTATGAGCGTGTGATTAATCAGCTCAATGGATTGATCCCTTTACACAATGACAACAAACAAGACCCAAGTATTTATGACATCCTCCTCCAAACCAACACCCATTCTACTGAACCGCCTGTAATCAACCAACTCTCATAAGAAATGTTTGAAATGTTGATTCCCAGAAAATAAAATCTAATCTTACTCATTATGCTTTTCTGTATTAATTTTAAACTTACAAAAATATATTCTCTGAACAATATTACCTGTAATATACCATCCTCAAATGAATGAGTGAAAACAAGATGGATTTGTTGTTTTTTTTTTTTTTATGGCTTATCAACCTTTTGCAGGTTATTTAAAGCCAGAAAATATTTTTAGATTGTAAGAATCTTTTTTGAAGATAATAATTATTTTACTGATGCAAGTCCTACTAATTAACCCATAGCTTGGAGGAGAAAAGTTGGATTTATACCTTTCCCAAGAATATTTGCACATAAATGAATATAATGAACTAAACTGAAATTGGGACTCTGCTCTCCAATTTCCAATTCTGGGCCATTATCCATTACACTGCTCTCACATCCAAGCTTACTGGTATTTCCAAGCAGTTATTCATGTAGTTACTGACCAGGATTGACATTGCTTAACTTTGGTGATCATACAAGAACTAGTGTTTCAACGTGATATGGCAGTAAACCCAAATGAAATAACAAAAGTGAGAACAGTGGAAAGAAAGAATGAAACCATCGTCAGGACTTTTCTCAAATACTTGAATAAGTTTTAACTACAGTATAATCTCTACATTAACCTAAAAAAATTTTTATTTTTAAATATGATAGAATTTTAGATGAAATAATTTGGTAATTTTCTTTCATTAATTTGTTTAAAATCTCAAAAGCCTTCTCTTTTAATAAATATAACCTTTGAAAAATCTCAGCTAAAAATTGTACCCAAATTCTGTTTAAAATCTTTCCAGGGGAATTTTTTTTTTATGTAAAAGCTAACTTTTCTTTTCCATTTGTTTTATTTTATTGAATAACTTGTAAAATTGTCTGGCATAATGAAAAGACAAGTTTACTTTTGATGTAAACAAACATCATTTACACCATTTATATTCAGATATTTGCCTCATCTTTGTTGTTTTTATCACAATATTTCAGTCATTGTGCCTTCCGAACTTCCTTAGGTATATATTGATCTGGGTAACCAACAAGAAATTCCAAACTTTAATCAATTATTCAGTTCAGAATTCCCTGTAGACTGATTTACACCTGAGAAAAGCCAGAGTGCACAACAGCCAAAACGTTGTGATAAAAACAACAAAGATTAGAACAATAGTCCAAATATAAATAGTGTAAGTAATGATAACTCCTCATACATAAATTCAGACATAAACTAGCATATTAGAATATTGGAATATCTTAAGACAAACAGATTTTTTTTATTGTGGATAACTTTAAAAAAATACTTGAACCACTTGGTATGCTTGCTGTTAGCACAATGTTTCTACCAATTCCTTCTTTAGCTCTTGTAACTGGAAAAAGGAAACCTGTGTGATGGGAGTGGATCCAAAATGATGATGGAAAATGGTTATTAACATACTAACCTAATGCTATGGAAATTGGTTGAGTTGGTGTAATAATGATTTTTTTATAACCAATTTGGAGGAATGATGTTTTCTTTTTCACACAGAATACATCTCCAAACTGAATAATGGATTGGCCAAAACATTCTATCAACAGTAAATATCTGATAGAGAAATTCATTTGCCTAAATAATGTTTGGTATATGTTCTTTAATTCTGCAACTGCGGGATAATAAAAAAATTCTGACTAAAATAAGTCTGCGAGTAGTTATTCAATTTAAAATTGTATATTTTATACAGAGCATTACTATATTTGTAATGGTTATTTACTTTCAATTTTTACTTATATTTGGTTGAAACAAAAGTTCATAGTGTTTTTTCAATAGGTGGCATTTGAATACATGATTTCATTTCACATATGACTGAAATTTGTGACGTATATACTTAAAGGGGTGACATTTCAGTGTTTAATTACTGACTTTTAGTTTTTATGCTTTTTTATATTGTATATTTTCTTTTTGCATTATTTTTTTTTTATGCTATTTACAACCATATCATGATTCCAAAGACAATATGCAATAACCCATAATGTAAAACTAATTTTGTTTTAAAAGCAAATACCAAATTTTAGAACCAAAGAAAGTAAAACAATAAATATAAACTAAGCAAACTCTAAGTCAGGACCATAAACCCCCCAAAAAACTGTTGATTATTATTTTATATATATATATATATATATATATATAAGTAATTATTGAGGAGTACCATATGATCAATTAAGGCATGAAACTGCCATTCACCTTGCAGTTTTGATTTCTATGACCACATTCTATCCACAAATATTTCTATCCCTAACATTGAATTTTGTTTTATATAAAATAAATCCATATATAATAATCATATTTAAAATAATTTATGGCTAAATGTAGCACTGAAGATGCATTACAATTTCCAAAATAGTTCAGTGTGATTTCAACATAACTATTTCCTTTTAATGAGTTAAAAACACAAACACACACACACACACACACAACTCCAGATTTTCATAGATGGACCCTCCAGAAATCATTTCATCCACTTGTCAGGGGTATCGGACACTCATTCTCAAATGTATTATTGAAATTTAAAAAATAAAGAGAACCGGTATTTATGTCATGGTGATAACTTTATTTATCAAGTACACACACAGATACATATATAAAAAAGTAATGTGCTTATATATATATATATATATATATATATATATATATATATATATATATATATATATATATATATATAAAAATCTTTTCATTTTTTTTTGTTTCAACCTTTGGAAGTAAAGTCTGATGATCCGCAGTTCTTTAAAAAGGGCTGTGGTGAAATAATTTATTACATGGAACCTTAAAGTGGTCTGTTTTTATTTAAATTATTTGCTCTGGATTTTATCCTCCTTGGGTTTACCCATACGGATTACCTAGTTTTTCATAAACTAACTAAATAAATATATATATATATATATATATATATATATATATATATATATATATATATATATATATATATAATATATGTGATGTGATTCATCATGTCTAAAACTGGAATCCTCAATGCACAGAGCATTAGAAGCTGGATCCAGCATAGGTTATATTATTGATTGGTAATTAGGGGATAATTATAATTTCTGTTATGCCTAGTAATTTAGACATAACCCGTTGGTCCAATGGTATTATGCTAGCATCATATAAGACCAGTCTGGGTTCAACTCTGTCAGTAGAAGATGCACACTGCTAATGAGTCCCAAAAAAGAATAAAACTGCCATCTGGTGTTTTCTGCATGTGTGTGCATTGACAATTCTGGTTCTAGACATGATGAATCATTATGAAAATTATACAAATCCCCTAATTGCTAATCAATAATATACATAAAACATGAGATGATAATATATTTTTATATCTCATGAAAAGTATTGAGAAAATTGTAAAACAAAATGTAGAAAGTTTACTTGTGATGCATTTCACTGTTTAGGACTTCATCGAACTGGGTTTGTTGGAGTTATGACTACATGTGCATGAATGGGAGACACTGACAGTTTCAAAATTTTTAAAATAATTTTTTTTGCAATCTATAAGAAAGTTAAGTGACTTTGAATGTGGTATAGTCATTGGTCCCAGATGTGCAAGTCCAGTTTAAAAAAACAAAAAACAAAACAAAACAAAAACTGCTGAGCTATGTCCAGCACAACCATCTCTAGGGTTTTACAAAGAATGGTTAGAAAAAGAAAAAAATTTCAATCCGTGACAATTTTGTGGGTGGAAATCCAAGGTTGCGGAAATAGATCAGAAGAGAATGGCTAAACTGGTTCAAACTGACAGAAAGACAACAGCAGTAGCTCAAATAACCACACAATGGAGGTATACAGAAGACCCTCTTTAAATGAACAGCATATTGAACCTTGAAGCAGATAGGCTACAGCCAGGTGACACTTGTGTTAGATAAGAAACTGATAACAATTTGCTAAATGATTCTAGATAAGTCTAAATTCCTGCTACAACCCCTCAGATGGTAAGATGGCCAGAATTTGGTGTAAGCAACGCAAAAATATTTCAAGCTGGTGGTGGTAGGGTAATAGAATAGGGAATATTCTTTTGATGTACATTGGGAGCCTTGGTATTAATAGAAGATCATTTAAATACCATAGCTTACTGAGGTACTGTGGCTGACCAGGTACCTCAGTTTATGATGCACTCAACCTTTTGGTACTACTTCTAGCTGGACAATGCAACATCATAAATCAAAAGTAGTTCACATTGGTTCATGGAAGACAACAGTGAGTTTTCTGCAGACTTTTTTGAATTGAGAAAAAGGACATCAATAGCACACAGTTATCGATGATGTAAGCACAGTCTCAAACTCGATATTTGTAAATAAAAACAAAGTACAGATAACTCTTTTAAGAAGTCAAAGATTGACTAGATACTATTTATATTATGAACCAGACCCCAAACTTTTAAAATGATTTGGGGTATGGCTTGAGCAACATCTAATGAATGCAATTCTGTAAAAAAATTTTCTTATTTTTGTATGAGTAGGCCAGTCAATGTAAATTGTGCTTTTTTATTAACCAGGTTAAATTCTCACTGTATGAAGGGAAGGAAATATATAATGAAGACATTTTATAAGGTCAATGTTTAGGCTGTATACTCATCTTAATAGGAAATTAATTTTTATAATTCCTTTTGTAATGAACAAGAATTTCAGCTTCAACTTTAGGATAAATTTGTTTACATAATCATATTACTAAACATCTCATAATTTCTCATTCAAAAAGATGTAAATGAAAGGAGAAAAAATAAGATATAAATTACTTCTAAATTATTAATAGGAATTTTTTGTTTTAATTTAAATGTTCATGAGCTAAACAGACCTGATATTTATTCACTATATTAGATTTCAGTTTTTTCAGAAAATCTAGTTTATTGATTGGGCCCATTTAGTAAAGAGTTTGTCCATATGACCGACTTTATATATAAATTAGAAATTTGTTTGGCTTTTATCTTTTTTGTTTTCAATTAACTATTTGATTTTATT